TTCAACAAACAAGCATCATTTAATCGAATAAAAGCCATCTGAGAGCATCCTGGTCCTTGAGTCTGTCGAGGGCTCCCCAGCTGCTGCACTGGAGCATGTGGTGAGCTGTTGAAGGGAATGAATGTGAGGCTTCTGCGAAAACCAGATCATCTGTCCTGTCTGCTCAAGTTTTGTCATGCTTGGATTTTTTGGGGTACTACAATGCTAGGTGAATTCTTATGTGAGCACATAACAAATATTTAGACTAAAATTCATGCAAAACGTGTTTACTCATGATGTTAATATAAAATTACTATAAAATCAGCTACCTAGTAATTCCTACCTGCTTAGACCTTCACTTTTTTATGCTTTCTTCATGTTTTCCATTCCAGTGGACATTGATGGCAATATCACCTCTTTAATGTTAAAAATACTAGGAAACAGACCACATTTTTCTTCTTGCTGTGGTGAATTTGATTTATAGTTGCTTATATTTAGGAAATCTTGAAAGCAAACTGAAGTATACAAGGAAAAATTACAGTTTTATCATTATGGCAATAAGGATCATGTAACACTTTTTAAAGAGAGACCAACAGATTTCCTAGAATATTTTGTTAATCTAACCTTAAAGTTTAGAAAGAATTTGAAAATCAATAGATTTTGCAAACTGTTTAAATATCCAATATTAAGTAGTAATGCCTAAATCCTAAACAAGCCTTTTAGTGAGTGTTCTCATTGTCTTTTTGTTTAACTGTTCTTTGGAGAGCTGGCTCTGTATATATGAATGCAAACCAAACATTCTTGAAATTTACTTTCTAAATAGCAGTGTTTTGACATTAGTTTGAAATGAGAGCAACCTTCTGAACTGAGAGCATATGCTTTGTGTTTTAGGTTCTGAATCTGATTACACCATTAATCTGTTTTTCAGAAATGGATGGAGCACATTTTTTAATTTAAGACTTAAAAGAAAATTAAAAGAGATATTATAAAAACATAACAGAGACAGTTGTAATTACTTCAGGCTACAAAAGAAGGTCTAGCTCTGCATCTACAGTCTTGACTTGAGAAATGTAACTGTGTTAAATTTTGATGCACAGGAGAAATATTGGAAAATTAAATGGTCTCACTGGCAGAATTTTCCTATCCTAAATTTGATCATTGCTTTCTTCTGACAACCAAACAAAATTATAAATTTCCTTCCAGCTAGAAAATGTCCATCCTTAGGAGAACCAGACATAGCAGCGATTACTGTCCTACCTGGAATAATGATAAAAAACATAGTTCTAGTCCTGATTTGGTTGACAAACTTTTGTGAAGTTGCAATTTATTATGATATTACCCAAGCCAGCAGATCACTGGTTAGATCAAATGGTTGCTATTACTTTTGTCTATAAAAGTTGCCTTGTGCACTGAACAAGCCATGCTGTTTCACTTTTAAAACTGGAAAGATCAATATAAAAAATTAACATTTGTTTATCCAGTTTGTCACTAATCTCTAAATGTGACTCACCATATAAAAATTACAGAAAAATAAGCATTCATATTGCTACAGGGATTTTTTTCCCACTTCTTTGGCATTGTAGACCAACACAAGCAGTGGAATGAATTTTTTTCCTGGTTTTCTGCATGGCACGTAGAATTGTTTATTAATGTGTAATCAACACAAAAACATTTTGCTATTTTAACTTTGTCTCTTTTGTTTTACAAAAAGTCTTGCTCCTGGCACACATATGTGGACTTTCAAAAGCCCTAGTTTAGCTAGAGCAGTGCTGGCAGACTAACCCATTTGACATCTTGTTTCATTCTCAGACCTCTTTGATTATTGGAATTTTTCTCTACCCATTAAGAGTTTACTGGAAAACCATATCATGAGTGTACAAAAGTCCTGAATTCCAGTTAAAACTTTATAACTGAAGGTCTGAATTTATTTTTTGAAACTCATAATATAGGACCAGGAAAAAAAGAAGAGTCCTAGTGCAATTTTAAAATACAGAATAATTTTTCAGGATACGTATTTTATAAGCTCAAGCACTTTAAGTGTTCAGTTTAAAAGGATGGAATTCAATTAAACACCTACCAACTTGGTGTTCAAATGAATTTTAGCCAGCATTGTCTTAAATCGTAACTTAACCAAAACACAACTACCTGGAGAAATTTTTCTTTATTTTACATTACATATTAGTGTCAATTAACACTTAATGGAGCCACTGTTAGAAATAGATGGGGAAATTGTTCACACCATATATTTTTGTGTGTCTAAATTTTGGATCTAAACTTAGCTTGGAGCCTGAATTCATTCAGGCTGGAGCCAAACTTGCATATTCTGAGCTGTGTGTCCCTCTTCCAAGAGGCACCTACTTTGAGTCTCTGCAGCAGGATGAAGTATGTGGTGTGAGTAATACCTTGCTGTTATTAACTAGTCACAAATGGCTTCCTGGCAAATCGCACTCACCGACTCATCCACTGGTGTGGCTTTGATCTCCTCTAGGACGGGCTCCATGTGACATACCCGCACTTAAATCCTGGCTGTGGAAGCTCCTGTATGGTTCTTCTATACCATCTGCGTCTGGTGATCTGCAGTATGGATGTAATGCTATCAGTGTATTGAACATACTGCTGTCTTTATTCTCTGATTAACTATTCTGGTATACTGAAAGGTGGTGGGGCAAAGGGAAGGAAAAAGATACCCCAGTGATATTCTACTAAAGTCATTCTCCCTTCAGCTTTGAATAGGTTTTTTTTTTAATTTTGGGGTATGTTCACTGTTACCCAAATGGCAACCACATGTAACAATATTAGTGGTAAACCTGATTAATTTCTGTACTTTTAATCTTTTACTTTGAGCACTGTAGTTCACAGAACTATTTAATGTTGTTGTTCTGTGATGTATATGCTGACATTCCAGTAATCAGTTGTCCACAGGAATTGCTGCAAATAACAGTTCACTAGGCTAATACTTTATGTAGTAATACTTTTAGAGGAGCTCATATAGTCTAATTCATCAGACAATTATTCTGCGTCTCTTAAGATTTTTAGTCATTTAAGTAGTAAGTATTACAAAATTAGATTTAGTCTTAATACACATGATTCATAAACATTCAAAGGTGAATACATGGGCGTTTTGGCTTACAAACGTAAAATGTCAGCAAAAAAATTAAATAATATAACTTCAGCAAAAGAGACTGTGGCGTAAGTAATGAAATAATATTCAGGCCTCATTTAAAGAAAGCAGTAAAATGGCACGGCTGCTTTGAGCAGATTCAATTCACCAAGGAAAAAAAATGTATTCCTGTAACTGTTTTGGTGACAATTAAAAGGTCTGTGTCCTGATCGAAATCAAATTTAGAAAATAGCTCTAAACTCTCCATACACAGTAAGCGTAGTCTCTGTAGATAACATTTGTTTATGCTACCTTTGCAGCACATTTCAAAGTCGACTGCTGTTGTTGCATTCATTAATAGTTTTGCAAAAATACACTGCTAAAAAGGAGAGGGTGGTTTGAGGTAGAAGGAAGTAACATCTGAACTCGGCTAGCAGCCTGCTAAAGTATGACTCTGTGCCTACTCTTGGTCACCTGTCTGTCTCTTTCTACCCTTTCTGTAATGTTAAATGGAATTACCAATGACTTGAATTCAAGCAACCCTTGAAGCATGAATGAATAATGTGAGGGTTTTATTGCATACATTTTCTCCAGTAAGAGATTTTTTTTCATTTTAAAAGAAAAATGTCTCGGACTTAGCAATGAGAATTTAAGGAGAATCTAAACTTATGAAGTTACTGAGAGAAAATGTGGACTAATGTTGAATCGTACTTGACTGCCTCACAGCTGCATTTTCAAGACCCCTCTGTAAGCTGGCCTTGAACATCTGTTCCCTTGACTTCAAACTGGGAATCTTACCAACAGCTTGGCTAAAATGTTTCTAGTTCCTTAACCTTCAAGGTTTAGTTTTCTGGGGAAAAAAACCCAAAACCTCTGTATTTGAATATATTTTGAATCTAGTAGAAACTACATGTGGAAGGCCATTGACAGTTTTTTTTCCAATAGGGACCAGTATTTTAAAAAGCTGCTTAAAACTCATTTAAGGAACAAGAACATCCCTAGGAAAAAAAAAAAAAGACCTAGCAGTCAGTAAATCAAAGAAATTTAACAAAAATCACCAGAATCTTCATAATTGGGATTTGCATTCACCCTTGTCAATAGTAACTACTGGCAGTTTCATATGCTGGTTTTTACATGAGCATTACAAGCTGCTAAGCTACTTGTCTGATATCAAAAGCTTCAGTGCTTCAGGTCCAGAAGGCCCATTTGAGCATGCAGTTGCAACAATGAAACACACAAACAATTCTCTGTGCAGAGAACTGAGAGGATTGAGGTATATTTTGGACAAAGTGGGCAGAAAAGGGCAGCTGATTTACAGCAGGATCACCTCCCCAGTTCATTTTGCTGCACAACCTGCAAAAATTTGTGCCAGCAAAAAACACAGGTGTCTCAAGAGGGTTTCTGTGTTGTGCTTTAAATGGTCACTGGATAAAGTAAAACTGTTGTTCAGGTTTTGTTATGCACAGTAACTTAGGTAATTTCTCACTTCTGTGCTGCTGCCTTGAGTTTGTTGACTTAGAAAGTACAAGGAGAAATCATCAAATCGGCATAAAGCCACAGCAGGTAGTTGTCCCCTTTGATGAAACTTCTAAAGATGTGGAATGACACTGTATGTTTGACTGCTTGGTCTTCATGGTCTTTAAAAATGGTTAAACTATGATAGCAGAATGCAGTGAAGTGTTGTTGTTACTGTTGTAATATTGTATATTGCCTGTGTTCTGAGATGTTCAGTCAGGGAAATAAATTTCCCTTCCATGTGCATCTGACCTGTAGAGCACTGATATCAACTGCATAACGGAACAATTAGTTCAGTTATGCGCTTTATACCAATTAAATCAGGCAAGGGATTTAATTAACATTGCCACTGTCTTTCTTCTAGAAATAAGTGTGACTGTATTTTCTATTTCCTGTTCTTCTTCAGGGCATTTGACGTGGAACTTCTTTATATAGCCCAGCACTTGAAAATACCTATAGCAGAAGTTGCTGTCAACTGGACTGAAATAGAAGGTAGGCAAATTGTTTATATTCTTGTAAGATTCCTTACATGTCAATCCAGAATAAAGTATCCAGTGGTCTGCCCATATTTCACTCAGTTTTGGTAACACACAACGTTCTTTCCATGCAAATTTTGGACTTCCTGTCCTTGCCAGCCTTCTTCCATGGCTTGGTACAGGAAGAGTAGGTGAAGGAGTAACAAGGGAGAGAAACTCTGCACTCCCACTGGAGGCAAAAGTAGGTAGTTATACTGCTAGGACAAAACACTACTTTAACATGTCCTCTTGCTATAATGTGTTAATACAAATAGAGCAATTGTAAAACACTGTGCAGGAAGTCTGACCATCATCGCTTATTGATTCAACTCCACTTCACTGTGTCTTGCCTTCCAGAATTCTCAGCTCTTAAGGCCTCCTCTGAGGCAGCATCTCTTCTGAAGATGTGATGTTCTTTCAGACCCATAGGGAGGTCTCTGACACTGGGTTACTGGAAAGTATAGCTCCATGCATATTTTGTCATAGCAAAGCCAGCTGAAGAGGTACTGCTGGCATCTGCTCACTTACCTCCCATCAAAAGCAGTTCCTCCATTTTTTTTACCCTTTTTGTGTTTTTTGTCTTTTCTCAATCTGAATCTCTTCCCCTCAACACAACTCCTGAACAACAGACAGTACAATGAACTGCAGTGATGATGAAGGGTGCAAGTAGAGAAAATCCTGAGACAGCTTTGCTAGAAAGGAAATGCTTCCTTTCGATTCAGTTCCACACGTACATTACACCTATCACAAATGTTAGCAGAGATGGAAGAAGGCTTGGTTTCGTGGTGTAGGTTCCTTACTTGCCTGAAGATTGGCACATTCATATTACTGCTGTAAGATAAGGTGGTGGTCCTCTTCTCCAAAGTTGATAAAAAGATCATTTGACTAATTATTGGTGTTCAGGTTCCTATTTACTTGAATAAAGCCCTGTCATGGAGAAGACTGTGCATCTTGTCACATACATGGAATTATTGTGCTGCGTGCAAGCTAGAATCTCCCACTTGCGGCATAATGTTATTACTATAAAGCAATAACTCTCAAAATATAAATTTTTATTAATGTTAAGATCTAGGTTGTGTGACTGAGTGTGCTGAGAATGCAGAGTTTCAAGACTGCTTAGGTGTGTGTCTTGCCAGTGATCATTTTTTTCTGATAATGTCCTGATTTTCTTCTTCATTAATCACAGGTTCTAAGTTAGTAGAAGTTTGGAGCTGGCTGCAGATGGGCAGGGATCTTCTTTTTATATGACTGCGATATATGACTGGTGCCTGGCAGCTTGAAAGAAGAAAATATAATTAGGTTATTTACATTTTCCAAATATATTATTATATTTAATGGAACATGAGAACAGTTTCAATCAAGTGAAGTAGTGATGAAAGCTGAGGTAATTTGTCATTGCTCCTCCTCTTGTATGTTTAATTTTTGCAGCATGTATGGGTTTTGTAAGATTGCCAGCAGGAAATTTGTACATTTTTAAAAGAGAAAGCATTTCAAAAAAGATTTTCTTACCTGATAATCAGTTTTTATTTTATTAAATAGTAGCTTTAACATGTCTTATAAATTATTTCAAATAAATATATCTACTTTTGTCTCATCACACTTCTGGAATTTCCATATACATATTAAAAAGAGGCACTCTATTCTGCATTGTGCAATGTTGTGTCGTGAATGACCTCAACCATTTGTTTCTGTGATATCTGGAAATTTTAGGCCATATTGCAACTTGGAATTATCATTCATGGTTCACACTGATGCATGTTTAGATTCAATGTTATGGGAAACATTAATGGATTTTACTGAGTTATAACAGTAATGTTCTTAAGGTTGTTCTCAGGACTTTTCAGTAGTCTCTTAAAATTCCAGATGTTTTTGTCTGAAGCTGAAATAGTTTTCCTGAGATCAAACTGCAGATCATGTGCAGATTGTAGAAGGTCCAAGACCAAGCACATTTAGGTTTAAAATGTTGTCTTTTATAAATGTGTTTTGTTCGTGTGTACTAATTATTCCTACCTACTCAAGGCTAGAAGTCCTTGACATCTAGAGGTCTGAAGTGAAGAGGGTATGGAAAGCTAGTTCAAAGCATGCAAAAATGAGACCCAGTGTACACTGGGGGGGCTGTGCATTAGCAATACCAATCTGATGTTGTCACACTTCAAATGAGATCAGAGAGGGAGGGAAGGGTCTTGAGTCTTTCATAGTAATGTCATACTATGTTACAGTACAGTAACACAGTTTCATTTGTGCTTTCAAAATACTTGTGTATTGCCAACAAACTAAGCCAGTCTGTCTTTCAGAAATGTACAAATTTCAACAGATGTAAAGAATGAATGGTATATGTTTGTACTTTCACATGGAAATTCACTGGTGATTTTTCTTATTCTTTCTGTAATATTGACTTGAATTTTGTTCCTGTTAGGGTTACCGCAGTTTTCTATCAAGTGCTGGAATAAATTCTCAAAAAATATATTCAGTTTGATTTCGCAGGCTTTATTCTCTTGCCTAGTCCAGATACATCTCTGTCACTTCTGCAGAATCAATCACAACTCCTCAATGCCATTACTAGAATAAAATACCAGCTTCTCAGTTTTTGTAAAGTGAATTTCTGTGATCAAACCTAAACAGTAATAGCTCTGCTTATAATTGAAGTTGCCCACCAGTTTTCAAAAGTAGATTCCCAAAATTTTCCTCACATCTTACCTTAGAATTGAGCATGTTTGAAATTTTAATAAAAGCAGCTCACCTCTTTCAAATTATGAGGCTTAGGCCATCCATTATTTTTAGCATGATAAGTAAACATCTGGTGATGTCTTCTTAAGAAAAATTCTTCTTTTGAATCATATGCCAAAGGTTGGAAAGAAGGTGCTAAATATATTATATTTTTTTATATAATTTCACAGAATCACAGTATAGTTAGGGTTGGAAGGGACCTCTGGAGATCATCTGGTACCCTGCCAGAGAAGGGTTACCTACAGCAGGTTACACAGGAATGTATCTGGGTGATGTCTGAATGTCTCTAGAGACTCCATGGCCTCCCTGGTCAGCCTGTTCCACTGCTCTGCCACCCTCAATGTAAAGTTCTTCCTCACGTTGAGGTAGAACTTCTTGTGTTTCACTTGAGCATATTCTACAAACTTTTTTCAAAACTGTGCAGATAAACTCTCCAGTAACTCTCTCCTTATTGAGCAGTCTCCTTTAGCAACTGTGCATATGTCAGGCCAACAAAATACTCGATTCCTTCCACCTTAGAGATGTAGAAGTAAGACCACATTTACAGTCTCAGCACTTTGTGGAGTTGAGTGCTAGAACTTGTTTGCAGGGAATTCTCTTATTGTTTCAGTGGGTTTGATAGATAAAGGTCACTACATGTCTCCATAGTCCGTAGACTGAGGTGGACAGACATGGCACTGGTCACATCCGTATGTCCCTTCTCAGCTGCCTGTCAAAGCAGGCTTGCTTCTTCTAAACTGCCTGCTGGGGATAGTCCTTGACCTGCACTGACCACCACACTGTGCCCAAAAGTATTTTGGGAGCAGAGATAGACAGCTGTGAGACACCTGCTACAGTGTGGTTTGCTTCTATAGATGTGGCCTGATGTATTCCATTGCAGTGGAGATAAAAGCTGAACTGGAATAAAAAAAGGAGTAAACTGGGACAGAAGGAGAATGCGGAGAAGTAGAAAAGGAGACTGATCTGGGGCTGAGATTGACAGACAGAGAGTGAAATAGAAGACTTACTTTACCTGAGAAGGATGGTTAGCTTCACCTTCTGTCACTCATGTACCAATCAGAAGTCTTCCGGGTAACATACCTAATTCCTGCCTAGTATTTGAAGCTTATGAAATACTAGACACACAGGCTGTCACAGGTGACCAGAACACCACCAGGCACACGCTCTAACAGAAGTTTAGACTCACACTTGGTTTTAGGTTTTTGCTCTGCTCTGCTCTGTGTTCCTTCAGGCTCAACATACCTCAACAATCCCAGAATCAAGGGAAGATTATCCTAAGCACCATTTCAGAAGCAGATGTACTGGTTTAATTGCACACAGCCATAAAGAGGAGTGTTCCTGCTCCCTCTACACCTGTTCTTTGGCTGCTTAGAGGCTCCCTCAAGCCACTTCAGCTCACTAGAATGGCAGGATGCTGTCTTGTTTGCTATTTTTTCCTTTCTTCTGAGGTAGTTTTCTGCCATTTCAGTGATCCCTGAGTGGTCCAGCAGGCACAGGTGCAGCAGCAAGAGGAGGGCTTCCCCTTTTCACAGACGTGAACTAACCACAAGTTTAAAGACTGACTTGTCACCTGGAAGCTAGTACACTTTTCAAGAACAGGAAATGTGAATTTAAATTCCCCCTTTTTTAAGCCTAGGTAAGACCTGAGGTCCTGTTGCCCTCTTAAAATGAGACTTTTAAGCCCTGGCTCTGTATTCCAGGGCCCCCACTTGATTTTAGAGTGTCACAAGATAGAATGGGAGGCTAAGCAGACAACTTCCCTGATCACCAAAGCTGTCATTCAAATCAGTCCTCTGCCTAACTGGTCCTCACTCTTCTCTTTATAAATTTGCAGAGATACATTTCTATTTCAGTGGACTCTTAACCTTTACTATTTCTTCCTACCCTTGCATTTGCAGGGGTGACCCAGGGAGGTGAAAGTCTTCTATGTTACTGTCCTGCATGACCCAGCCCTCCAAAGACACATCAAAACAAATTATTCTCACAAACTTTAAAAAGGAAATAAAAACAAACAGAGAAAATCTACATGATAATTTTGCAACATTCTTACCAACATCAATGTCTGCATAGTTAGTGCTTTCATAAATAGAAATTTCAATGTTTAAAAAAAATATTTTTATATCTCTCCATAAAAGCCTTACTTTTCTGCACCCTTTAATACTTCATAAGAGACTTTTTCAAGGGGCGACTTAATATCAAAGAGTTGTCTTTGAAAAACACATGCAGAAAAAGCAAGTTACTGAAAAAGGTTCAGTAGTTTACCCAAGTTTTCTTCACATTGTAATTTTTTATCACAACTCAAAGCAACAGCAATGCAGTATCCCTTGATGTACACTTAGCTTTTATCCTTACAAGCTATTTTTTTAACTCATATTTTAAATATCAATTGGAAAACCAGTAAAAATATCTTTTTACTCTCAGGCATGTCTGCAGATGTGCAGTATGTTTTCTTTGACAACTCTAGCAGTTAATATCTCAAACAGGTTTCAACAACACTGCAGCATTATCACAAGGCAGGGTAACTCTTAAATGAGTAATAACACAGCTTTAATCAGTTTTAACCTATATAAAGTTCTCAGAGATCACTGTTGTGAAGTGTAAGCAGACAAACGTAGAAGATGGCTCCAGCTCATTCTGCAGAATTGCGTTCAGCAATACATAGATTTGCAACTCTCAAAGCTTCTGTGCGGACCATTCCACCACTGCCAATGTCCAGGTTAGTTTTTTCACCATAGGAAATTAAATTATATCAATATGTATAAGCACAGCAACATTTCCAAGCCATTGAATAGTCCCAGACAGTATTTAACTTGAATTCTCTGCTAATGTTTAAGGCTCTGGAGACCCATCCATAATTATTTATGTACCTATTGTCCAAGTGTTCCTTGATTTCACAGTCATAATGCTGACTGCAAACTAAAAATAGTTGAAGTGAAGAGACAGGCGAAGACAGAAGGCTGCAATGAAGCTTCTGTATCTCAATGTTTATTACTTAAAATAACATCTAACCTTATTTATGATCCGTGTATGTTTCTTAGGGATGCAGTGGCATGTCTGTAATAGCTCAAGGGGTATGAATTAAAGTAGTGTTCCAGCATTGTTGAAGGCTGCACCCTGCCAGTTGAACCATAAGTTATCTACCTCTTTGGGATAGGGATTTAGAGGTTTGGATGCTACTACGACCTGCCTATTGCATTAGCCAACGGCACATAAGAGAGTCTTGAGCACACAAGTCCTCGGGGGCTCAGGGGAGAAGCTACAGACAAACCTTTGTTTCTTACTGGGAAAAGAAATGGCATTTTCATATGACCAAGCTTAACTAATAGTTATGAGATCATAGCTGAGAGGGGTGTGCTAGAATATGATTTCATTTAATAGATCCATCAGAAAAGAAAGAGCTAACTAGCCTCCATTTTCCTGGATATTTTTTAATCTGTTTTCTTTATACTGTTCATCGAGCTCTTCAACTGCCCAAGCTGCATAATTAGGTATTTCCCGTATGTAAGAAAGAAACAAAACTTTTCCAGTCCTGCTTGCTGGACACAGTCTTCCAAGTACCTGTACACTCTTGCAGGTGTATCAGTCTGTAAATCAGTCTGTAAGTTGTTGGTCTGTCTGCCAGATCCTTAAACTACACACATTTATATACACTAACACAAACACAGTATGTTTGTGTTAGTGCAAAAAGTAGACCTGCTTTTTGCTAAAGCAATGTTTTCAATGTTTCCCTTTCTGCAGAAGGAGACGAACTCTTGCTGGATGTGGAATCTGCTGGTAGTATCACTCCACACCTGAAGTTAAATGGTCTAACCCATTTCAAACCAGCAGTCAGGTCAGCAGTAGCTCTTCAATGCACTGTAAATGCATGACTGCAGTTACTAGAAATATTCTGACTTACTTGAGGCAAACAGCAGCAAGCAAGCTGCAGCAGCACGGGCTGTGGGGCAGCTGGGCATGTTGGCCAACTGCAAAGTAAGCATTTCTACAGCAGGGCCCAGGGGAAATGCTTTCAGCTTCTCTTGACGAAAGCCACTACAAGCAGGGAATACTCCTTTTCAGACTTTCTGCAGCTTCCAGATATTGCATTAAGGCCTCCAAATTCTCAGACCTTTTCTAAGGACAGTCTACCATCAGCAAGCAGTATTCAGTCATAAGAGCTTTAACAGGCTGTGAGAGGTTATCCTTTGTCTACATTTACTCTACCACACTTCCCAGCACTCCCATGCAAGCAGCAAATTCTATAAATAATTTACTTATACTCACATTCTCTTTCTACATATACACTCAGTATTCAAGAAACAGCTGCAGACCAAACACCCTCCCAAACTGGCTTAGCCACAGGTGATCCTTCTTACCTACATGACCTTAACTCCCTCTCAGATCCATGCCTTTGCATCCGTCAGGGTCTGCTTTCCTTGAGTTTTCATGTTTTGCTGTCAAGATCACTTTCCTCCTTTGAACGTTGATCAATTTGTCATTTTAGCAGAGTGAACTTCAATATCTAGACTGAATCCATGCCTTTGTCACTGCCATGTTCTGTGCAATATTCTTGAAGATTGAGGTGACATTAATTCTGGCATTCCCATCTGGTTTTTGCTATGTTCTGATGTTTCATCTGGGGTTATTCTGAAGCTGTAGAAAGATCCCGTTACAAAACAAAGGGAAATATTGACTGTCCACTTTTGGACTGGAGATCAGAAGAGTTATTTGAACCACACAAGGATGAAGAATCATTGAGT